ATCTGCAATCATACAACATAAATCAATAAAAAGCAAATGGATGATCCAACAATATATCAACCAAAAAAACAGTGTTGTGAAACTCAAGTACTCAACGGTACAAGGCCTTCCTCAATGGGCTCCCATACATCAGTAATACTGACAGAACTGATTATTGTATCTTGATGCAAACCAGGAATACTCTTCTGCAGTTCGGTAGAGATACGAATCACACAAAAGAGTCTAGAAGATGGTGACTAAAACTAGACAGTTTATGGAATTGGCAAACCAACCTTTATTATCTCGGCAATAGCCACTGTCTTGCTTATAGCCTGTCCCATAGCCTTCAACACAATTTCTTTCACCCGTTTTTCCTGATTTGAAAAGCTAATATAAGATAGATAATATGCAAAATTAGGTGACTAATATGGATGGTCTGTACTTCAGATTTTATCTACTTAAGCAGAAATTGCAAATCAGGTTTGCACAAGAACAAAATGATCACGAGTATTGTGTTATGGGCTGGCTTGGCATTGTCATTCCCGAATTTGAGGTTGCAATCACACTTCTCCACAAATAAAACATCAACATAGGTAACAGTTCCCATTGGCTACAACAGTTGTTTAGTGTCTCAAGGAATTTAAGATGATGTCCATTGGATTACTGAGAAATGCTGCAAATAAACAAATAAACACCAATTCACATGAACCAACTGAGTGTTCTATCTGAGCTCTGGTGCACTTTTCCTGTATGAGTTATCGTATAAAGGGGCTCCTTTATGTCATGTGTTAGGTCTACACTGGATGCCATCCTAGAAGTTGAGATGAGCTGAGGACAGTCAATGTCCAACACTGCTCACAAATTGCAGACTCGTCATCAAGCATTTTCCGAGGCAAGAGGAGGTATGCTAAAAACTAAGGCAAAGAGGGGCTGGGGAAGGTAGACACAAACATACAAGATATGGGGATGAGCAAGTGATTGGACATAATGACAACATAACTAGCAATAATTCCTATTTTGATTTGGACCTCACATCCTTTTATTGGCAAACAATTGACAGTGGAGTTGTGGGAGATAACTTCTGTATGGTTAGTTTTGGAATGGACGATTCAGATCAAGAAAAGTGTCAATCTTGACTGCACAACATTATCAGGGGATATCCACCTTTATTGATTGATATGGGCAACAACCAGTCAACCACTCAATTCAATAACAATAGCTTGATGAACAGCAGACTATCAAAAGATGTGCTAATGGTTACACTGCATGGCACACTTCAATTGCACCCAAAAAGGGTACATGCAATCAATTATTGATAACAAACCTACAATACTTAACCAACACACTACGGACCAGTTGCAAAATCAAGCGTACCAGTAAAAGCACATCACACACAACATCAGAATAGCTAAAACCTGGATAATAGTACTAAACCAGCATGACGGTACCATTAGTAAAAAAACTGTCTCAACCTCCTTATATCCTGAATAAATGGTCGACAAATCGTCACTCAATGCTACACGGTTCCAACCACCTTATTATATTCTGAATAAATGGTCGACAAATCATCACTCTACACGGTTCCATAGCTCAAGTATGGAACTATGCTCCACCTCACCTTACAAGAACTTCGAGGTTTTTATGCGATACAACACAATGGGGGAGCAAATCGCCAAACTGATGACAAACCGCACCAGAAGGACGTCGCCAGCAACTAGGCAACCATATAGGACACACCTTAATCCACCACGCCTACTCTAAAATCCGTATGCTCCGATCCGGAACCCTCACTTCTCAACACCGCAGGACGTCCGCGCTCAGCAATTATTGCCGCCTCCAGACGCGGCAGCGAGATCTGGTCTGACGCACGGAGCCCAAGCAGAGCGATGTAGGGAGCGTGGGCGGGGTCGACAAGTCGTCCCAACAGCACAACGACTACCGGAGGAACTCGGTACCTGGACGAGGGAGGTGGCGTAGGTGACGTAGTTGCGGATGAGGCCCTGAGTGGTGATGCGGATCTCGTTCTCGCTGATGGCGGCGGCCTCGGGCCGCGGCTTCTCCACCCGATGGTACCGATCCATGGCGCTTTCCTCCGGCGACGCTCCCGGCGATTCGGTGTAGGTGGCGGCGGCGGCGCTGCTGTTGTTGAAGGGGAAGAGACGGAAGGGGCGCTATTGGGGCGGGTAAAACCCTAGAAATAGTTGTAGTTAGGGTTTAACGGCATCCGCGGTGGCGGCTGCTCGGGTAGAGGGAGGGATCTGGCCGCGCAGGTACCTGGAGATTCGCATTTTCTTTTCTTTTAAGATTATATGGAATATTGTTATGCTTCTTTTATTGATACTGTGGATTATTGTATGGGGCATGAACGGCTTCAGATCTAGCTCCCCTGCCCATTGTAGTGAGAAATTGTTTTTGTCTCCTCTCTCGAATATGATAAAGTTTTTTTTTTGGCTTCACCTATGGCGGCTCCTCTGCGTCCTATAGAAAAAGGCAGAATTGTGGGCTAAATTGATTCTCCGATTTAAAATAATAGTGGGTGTGTAATGCAATATAAGAGGTATCTAACTTAGAGGACGAATAGTATAAAATTGTGTGATTAAAACAAACATAAATACTCCAACATGGGCGTCCGACCCGTTTCCTTCGTGTCGAACACTTTTTTAACTGGATCACAGTCTATACAGCCTGCCAACGACCCAACAGTCTTACCTTTCTCTCCCACGCAGCTGCTCGTCTCCCTGACTATGACGCGGGTGCTCGTCGCCCCGATGTGGCTACTCGTCTCCCCGACACTGTTGCCCACCTTACTCCCTCAATATCTGCTTTCCTCCCTCACGGCCCTGCCCGCCCTGTCCGTCTTGTTCTTCCCTCACCGCTGCACCTGCTCGCCTTCCTACCTTGCCTCCATGGCAGCAAAGTGGATCTAAGTGGACACCTCTATGGTGAGGTGTTTCTCGACTATGAAATCCTCCATGGTCGGGTGTCTCTCGAACGATGAACTACACGATGGAGGTGTGGCCTCACTGGCGACAAACTCCTCCATGGTGACCAGGCTCCTTCACACACAAGCACAACCGGATCTGCACTCTACGGTGGGTTATGTTGTAGTATGTGATATATTACAGCAGTCAATCTTGGATGTTACAGTTTTATGGCACTCAACATAAAAATTAGATTTTGCGGTGTTGCAACAATCGATTTGAGATGTTGCAACAGTCAATTTGAGATGTTGCAACATATTTTTCTGGGTGTTGCAATAGTCAATTTATGATGTTGTAACATGTTTTTTATGTTGCAATTGTTGATTTAAGATGTTGCAACATGTGTTTTTTTAATGTTGCAATAGTCGATTTGAGATGTTGCAACATGTTCTTTTGAATGTTGCAACAGTCGATTTAAGATGTTGCAACCTGTTTTTTTTTATATTGCAACTGTCAATTAAAAATGTTGCAACATGTTTTTTTGGATGTTACATGAGGTTTCAGTATGTTGCAAACCTTTTGTTTTTTAATGTTGCAATCAATGATTAACATCTGATCCATTTGTCTCTCTTTCCATCTCGGCAAGGTGCGTTGTCTGCAAGTGCTATAGGAAGCGCAACCACCATTACCATGGTTTATTGTTGCATCACAGGAGAAAGCAGGGAGTCGGAAGGAGGGCTCTGGCGATGAGCCGAAGGGAGATCGAGTGGTAGGGCGTACACAAGCAGAGAGAAAAAAAAAGAGAATCTTGAAGAAGACGACAGGATCTACAAGATAGGTTATTAGAATGAGAATAAATCATAATTGTTGGATCATAGCCCCCCTTAAAATAGAATATCATTTTGACTTTTTGAGAAGTTAATCAGTCTTTAACTTTAACCAAACATATATAAAAATACTAATATTTATGATGCATAATAAGTTTCATTTAGTGAATAATAAAAATATTTTTATAATAAATCTACGAGGAGATAAAAATGTTGATATTATTTTTTATATGGTTAAACTTAACAAAATTGACTTACTCCAAACCTAGGATGACCTTTTTTTTGACAGAGTGAATATGTATCATCGGCACAAAATACGGTCATCAATACTGTTGGGATTTCACCCGAGTAGGCAATGGTTGGGCCCTCTCTTTCGTGAGTGTTGAAGTTGAACTGGCAACCGGCGAGAAGGTGGCCCGATGGTGTTTCCGTGGTCTGAATGCTATCACAAAGGATTGGACGAAGTCCTCTCGACCTCTCCTATGTCGTCTCTCTGCTATCTGTAGTGGTGGCCGAAACTACCTGTGATGGGCTTTTTAGAGAATGTGATGGGGTTTTATCCCGAGTTCAATTAAAGCTCGGTGGGGTTTTGTCATTAGAAACAGCTTCAGCATGGTGGTAGTGGCACGAGCAGGTTCGATAAATTGTTTGACAGCCCAACATGATGAAGCGACTGCTTGTTTGAAGGGACTAGAGCAGGCAACTGCATTAGGAATGGATTGTGTTATTTTGGAGACCGATGCAACTCCTGCTGCTAAGGCTTTATTGGATCTAAGCATGGATAGGTCGGACGGTTGGTGATGGGAATTAAGATAGCCGAGATAAAAACTCAAATGTATTATGAGTTCTCTGCATGTATTATTTCTCGTGTATCCAGAGTCCGTAACGTTGTAGATGGTCCTCTGCCGTGGCAAGAGTGCAAGACCATGAACCAGACTCTGTATCTTCGTCGGTGTCCATCGATTTAGCTGCATCATGTGACTAATGGAACTCTGTTTTTCCTTCTCTCTCACTCTCAAGAAAAGTGAAGACACCCATGTTTTATCAGCCTGTTCGCTTGCTCGTATACGATCGTGGATTATAAGTTGAAAACAGTATTTTTCTCAAACACCAAACCAGCCAGCGGTAAATAATCTACGATATTTTACGACGAAACCAACAGTCTGTATGACTGGTAAAAGAAAAGAGAGAGGAGCTGCTGTTCTAACGCCATGTCGTGTCCAGTAGGCAGTAGTCGTTTGGCAGTATATTCAGTACCACCAGGACATGATTATTACCGAGCCATGCGCTTCTTCCTACCATCGTCGGTGTTTACAGGGACTACGCCGTCGTTGTCGGCTAGCTCCCTGTACTTGTCCTTCCTGGTGAGGCCGGTGCACTCGTACGACAGCGTGGAGGCTATAAGCTTCTGCACGTAGTTGGCTACCCAGTGGCTGGACTTGCCCCCGCCGCCGCAGGTGAGCTCGGGCGGCAGCCTGTCGAGGAACGTGACCGTGTACACGGGGCTCGGGTTCATGAACAAGTAGAAGGGGTCCATCCCCTTCCACCCCGTCGCCGTGGTGCCGTGGAACATGCTCATCCGGCACTCCACCGCCACCGGCACGACGTCGTCGGTGAGCTCGGCGAAGAGCGCCGAGAACCGCAGCAGGAACGGCTCCCGGCACGTGGTCCCCTCGGGGCAGATGGCGAGGTCCCCCTCCTCGGCGAGCACGCGCCTGATGGTGGCCGCGTCGGCGGCGCGGTCGCGGGTGAGCCGCACCGTGCGGATCGGGGACAGGAACTCCGAGAGGCGGGACAGCGAGTAGGTGACAGCGGCCACGGGCCGGCCCAGCGCCACGGAGAGGAAGATGGCGTCCAGGAGTGTGCGGTGGCAGCAGGCGAAGAGCACCCCCGTGTGTGCCCCATCGCCCGCCGGCGGCGGCGGTGGCGCCCCCCGCACGACGACGCGCACGCCCAGCGCGTGGAACGCGACGTGGAGCCACCGCATCGGGACGAGCACCCCCGCGGCGACGCGGACGAGCGAGAGCAGGAGGCCGACGGGGAACCACAGCACGGTGAGCAGGGCCACGAGCGGGGTCGGGCGCTGCACCAGGCGGCCGTCGTGGAAGACGACCCGCTTCGGCAGCTTGTCCGCGCGCACGGCCTCCACCGGCGTCCGCGGCACGAGGTAGGCCTCCTGCACACCAAGAAAAAGTCATCTCAGATTCTGTCAGTGTACTGGTTCATGGTTTTTTTTTTGAATCTTACTGGTTCATGTTAAATGGCTGTATGACTCAAGAGGTTTTTGTGGTACAATACTGAACCATTTTTGTAATTGTATAAAGGACGACGGTGTTCACTTTGCTTTAGCGAGTGTGCACCAAAAAAGCCAACGACGATGTTTAAAGTCTTGTTTGGATCTAATAGTCAGAGCATCTCCAATAATTTTTAAAAAACAATTGGTAAATCAATGATTTTTAAAGTTGCTAAAAAAGTAGAAAATATATTTGTTTCTTTTTCAAATCACTTTAGCCACTTTTATATTCTTTTTCTCTCTTGTATATTTGCATACCTTTTTTCTTCTTTTTTTTGCTCCACATTGTTCCACCACTGGATTGCCCGAATAGATTTGCGCGCATATCTTTTCGCACGACTGGACTTATTTCCCAAGTGCATAAAGATTGGGAGTTGAGATAATGAGTTGTCAGAGAGATTTTTTTTTTCAATCTTGCCAAAAAAATTAAGATTGAGAGTGGGTTTTGGAATCTGTTAGAGATTTTTTAGCTGCTAAGAGCATCCCCAATAGCCTTTCTAAATTTTACTCTCTAAATCATCTTTGAAAAGTCATTTACATAAAAACCGCTTTTTATATCTTTCCACACTCCAACAGTTTTTCTATATCTCATTCGCCCTCTAGAGAGCTATTCTCGTATTCTATTTTTGGCTAGCGAAAAATTCGGAATAGAAGATGGCTATATTTGGATAACTATTTAGAAAAAGCTATTGGATGGTATTTTTTTCAGCGAACTCTATATTCCTAGCATTTAGAAAGGATATGGAGAGTCTCTTGGAGTTGCTCATCTAATAATTAGCTCATTTGATACAAATAGGTCTCTAGCTAATTGTTAGATGAGCATCTCCAAGAGACTCTCCATATCCTTTCTAGATAAAAGGAATAGAGATTTCGGTGAAAAACAGTTCTCCAACAGCTTTTCTAAATGGTTATCCAAATATAGCCAATCTTCTATTCCGAATTTTTCGCTAGCTAAAAATAGAAGACGAGAATGGCTCTCTAGAGCGCGCATGAGATATAGGAAAACTGTTGGAGAGTGAAAAAATATAGAAAACGGTTTTTATGCAAATGACTCTCCAAATGGTAATTTAGAAAGTGAGATTTAGAAAGGCTCTTGAGTTGCTAACAACTATCTTACTAGTTAAACAAAATCAACTAATAATAGCGAATATTAGCTATGAGCTATTAGCTAGCTAACTATTAGCAGCCAAATCAACTCCAATAGATTAGCTAATAGTGTTTTATAAATTTTCTAATTTAACTACTCCCTAAAATAAAATCCCACCAAAGAAACTAGACTAATTCAACGGCCTCTATAAAAATAACATTCTCCATATTTAAACCTGTCACATCATCTAGCCTTTTCGGATCATCACATATCCTAGGAAGCGGGTGCAAAAACAGATTAGAGTATGTGCGATCAAGGATGCACAGGAACGGGGATTCGCATGCAGAAAGGGGCCACCGAGCGGCCAAGATGCGGACAGCGAGCGAGGCTGAGGGTGTGTTCAGCAGGGAGGTCAAAATATTTGACTGTCACATCGGATGTGTTGGAAGGATATTGGGAGAGATTTTTGGATATTAATAAAAAACAAATTACAGAGTCCATCAGAAAACTGCGAGACGAATCTAATGATATTAATTAATCTGTCATTAGCACATGTGGATACTGTAGCACTTATGGCTTTTTATGGACTAATTACACTTAAAAGATTTGTCTCGCGATTTTGCCGAGAACTGTGCAATTAGTTTTTTTTCGTCTGCATTTAGTACTCCATGCATGTATCAAACATGCTCTTTTACTGTAGGAGGCAAAAAAAAAAAAAAAAACAAGGCCTGAAAAGCCAAAAGTAGCTACCGAAGTTTTAGACCGGAGAGCTGTAAATTTGGAGAGGCACTTGGCTAATCTGTTGAGCCATTTTTTCTCTAAATAGTAGCCATATTTAGCTTTACAAAACGTTTTACCTCTTCTCTTGAAGTTGCTCTTATGTATTCAAACAGTGGGCTAAGACAAAATGCCCTGACTAACAAAGAAGGAGAAAAAACATGCAAAATAAAAGGAAAAGGACGACGGGGTTAACTCTCCTCAACTCGTCCACACAAGTCACAACTCACAACAGGTACTTGTACTAACGCACGACTAGTCAGTGTACTCAACCAAACACAGTGCAACGACGTAACAAATGGTTGTCGTCATCTGATCACTCGATGTGTGCCGTGTGCGTGCTCTTATACTTAGGAAACTATCGTGCTGTTATATATGTTGACGTTGCGGCGTTAACGATCATAGGAACTAGGTGGTGAATTTTTTATGATCGATCCCTCTAGCACCCCTCGAATGCTAAACACTCTTGGTTTTCATATTTTTTCACAAAAAACATTATGAATTCTGGAAAATGTATTACCTAGCGTTGCAGGCATTGGTATGTTTGTTCCAATTTATTTATTTGTTAATATATATATATATATATATATATATATATATATATATATATATATATATATGCGCGAGACCTTGCAGATGCTCATGAAGGCGTAATCCGATCTCCGGTGTCCGAGCCCGACATCAGGCATCTCCCCGGCAGCGAGCATCTCCCTTAGCGCCTGTGCCTTGCTCTCGCCGACGAGCACGCCACCGCGGCGCGCGTCCACCCACCCCGTGGCGCGTCCCCTCCACGCCGCGAGCTCCGTCCCCGCCACGGCGTCGGCGCCGAGGTACCCCCGGAGGAACGGCTCGGCCATGACCCGCGGCGCGTCGGTGAGCACCAGCCTCCGTCCCCCGCACGCGGAGAAGACGCGCCACGCGCCCGGGTGCACGTCGGTGGCGTAGAACCTGGGCAGCACGGCGCGCGCCGCGGACTCGACGTCGGTCACGCGCGCGCCCGCCGTGGCCGCGAACACCAGCACCCGCGTCCCCGCGGACTCGGACACCGCGCGGCGCAGCGCCGCGGCCAGCGGTGACAGGAGGAGGAGGAGCGCCAGGCGCGCCGCGCCGCCCGTCTCGAAGGCGACGAGCGCGTAGTAGGGGAAGGAGTCCGGGGACCGGAGCAGCGCGCCGTCCAGGTCCGCCACGACCGTGGAGCCCCGGCCGAGGCGGGACGCGTCGCACTTGTCCACGGACGGGAACGGCTCGGCCTCCCCGCCGCCCCACAACGCCATTGCGTGCATGCGATGCGCGCTGCCGCTGCTAGCCCGTGGAGTGGAGCTGCGTGCTCGCTCGGTTGCGTTGCGTGGCGGCGGGAGCGAGTGCGTGGAGGGGATTTATAGCGGCGCGCGACGTGCGTGGGTCGGCCGCGCGCGCGCTGGGTGCCAGGGTGGACGGGCGACAGAATAACCGATCGGTTGGTGACCGGTAAAGGGTGGTGGGGTTCGGAGGATCCGGATGCTGAAGTTGCAGACTTGCTTGCAGGACTCCATCTCTTCTCCATAGGCTCACGTGTTTTGAGACGACCTTTCTGGGGTCGCAGTACGATCCGGGCGCTTCCATTTACGGGTCATGGTCGCTTTCATGTACGGGGATTGTGAATCCGTTTGAAAATCACTACATACACTGACTCAGGCATGTCCGCATGTGACCAGAATGGCTACTGCACTGTCTGTGTTATTGTCGGCATACGGACAAGGCAAGGCAAACCCCCGAGGCGTGCACGGAGAGGATTCATGGCACGGGGGACTCGTCAGCTCCTGGTGGTTGGCCCGTGCGTTCTACATTCCAGCCGGCGCGAGAGTACGTCCTGGCACACCAGACAAACAACACGCCTGGTAGCATCAGGAAACAGAGAGGGAGAAACAACGGTACCACACTGTGGCGTCAACTGCCGCCCACAGGTTCTGCCTGGTCGGTCTCACTCGGCTCGGCTTAGCTCCCAGTCCCAGGTCCAAACAGCTCCACAAAGAAAGCAGGTTAGTTGCCGCGCGCGGCGTTTGCTTCCACGATCTGGTGTCGCTTTTCACCACCCACAAGCAACAACCGGTGCTGCGCTTTCGAACAGCAATCCGGAACCAAAAATCTATCTATGCTGCATTGGAATGGAGCCTGCCCTGGTTGCCAGGAGCCAGGGGACGGGCCCGGGTGGGCCTCGAGCTCGCTTCAATGGCGACGGCGACGCAGCCGCGCTGGGCTCTCCGGTGGTCGGTGTTGGGGCAAGTAGGCTAAGCTATCAGAAAAGAGCTGGCCTGAATACACGATCGCCTCATCGACCTAACACACACACACAGAGCGTATTTGCCGGGAGAAAGAAGAAAAAGACGACGCAGCGGACCGACGGGCCGGATAGGGTGCTAGGGCGTATGTATGGGTGTGTGTTCATTGCAGGAGGTTGCGCGTCCCTCTCGGAGAGTTGAAGGCATCTGCTGTACCAATTTCGTCGCATAATTCTTCCTTATCTAGTTCCTAATAATCACTTCGATCGGCATTTCATTCTGCGAGCATTGCGTGGACCACCACGCCACGCTATGCCTGCGAGCGCCAGCAGCGGGGTGGCGGCGTGCCAGATGCCCCGCGACGGCCGTCATCGGCGAGGAACGGTCGCCGGTTGGTCGCGGTCGGCTGTCTCATTTAGTGGCACGGCAGGAGTGATCGGCACAGAGGGGACCCCCACGAGGTCACGAGGAGCACGACAGCTACAAAATGGGTGGGCTGGGCTCAGCTTCGGCCTTGGGGCTGGGAAAGGCTATATCAAGCCCATTGGACTACTACATGTAGGAGGCTGAGTAAAAAAAGTCCCTTTGAGGCCTTTACCTTCCTAAATTACAGAAGCAAAACCATTTAGACCATCTTTGGAACAGAGGAATTTTTCCTATTTCCTACGTTTTCCTATAAAAATGAACTAATTCATGTAAAAATAATGTACGAATCCTATCGAATTCCTGCGTTCTAAAGGGGGGCTAGGTGCCGACCTGGGTGGCAAGTAACCCACTGCCGACCCCTCACGAAAATAATCAGGTCCCTGGGCGCGCTTCATGTGTTGGGCTAAATTCAATTACTTCCCTCCGTTTTTATTTACTTATCACCGAACTTTTACTGTAGCAATTTTGACCATACGTTTTTTTTTTGCAAAAGATTTTTAGATACATCAAGTTTTCACATATATGATTCTTCATTTTACATACTTGATTAATGTTATATACTTTGAAGTATCTAAGATTTTTTAGAAGAAAAAAACGGCTGGTCAAATCTGCTACAGTAAAAGATTGGTGACCAGTAAACGAAGACGGAGGGAAGTATATTGGGCTGTCAAGAACTGTTCCCACACACCGCGCAGCCAGCCACAACAGACATGCAGTAAAGACAAAAAAGCTGATGTCAGCATATCCTATGCTTTTTGAAGTAAAAAAAAGTCGCAGCTCCTAAACCAAGTACCCTAATTAAAATCAGATTACACCATTGTGTTCCTTACAATAAACTCTTCAAAATAAGGCCCCATATGGATACATTTCGATAATTTGTTTAACCAACATTTATCTCATGATAAACATGTATTTAAAGATAATCGTCGAACATGACATTAGCAATATACGAACATCGCAGAAAATAGCATAGAACATCATATGTATACTACGTGAACATCATATATATCATGAAATAAAAAAATAAAAAATAAAATAAGTGGAATAATTAATTATAATCAAATAAAAAGAAGAAAAAATGATACCGAACATCACAAATACATCGTAGAATATCACATTAACACTACACGAACATCACTAAATATAGCATAGAACATCATATGTATACTACGTGAACATCACAAATATCATGAAAATATAAAATAAAATAATAAAACTAGTGAAGTAATTATTAAGAATCAAATAAAAAGAAGAAAAAAAGCTACCGACCATCATAAAATATGTCCTAGAACATCAATATACGTGTACTGAACATCACGAAATATATCGTAGAACATCACATTTCTACTCACGAACATCAAAAATACATTATAGAACATCACATGTATACTACGTGAACATCACGAGTATCTGTAAATAAAAAAGTAAAACATAAAATTATAAATAGAAGAAAAAAGGAAAAATAAAAAGAATAAAATACGAAAATAAAAAATAAAATAAAAATATGAATTCTATCAAAAAGTAATAAAAATATATAAATGTTGAAAATAAAAAGATAAGAAAGCAAAAAAATAAAGAAAAATAAGAAACTAAATAGAAGTAAGGAAAGGAAACAAAAAATAAAAAAAAAAGAAAAAAAAAGAAAAAGAAAAAGAAAAAAAAGGAAATACAAATTAATAGAGTAAATAAAAATAGTAGAAGAATAAAGAAAATAAAAAGAATGACAAAAGTCCACAAAAAAGAAAAAAAGAAAGGGAAAATAAATGAGTGAAAGGAAATAAAAAAGAAATCAAAGAAGGAAAGAAAAAACGCACAAAGGAAATAAAAGAAAAATAAAAAATAAAAAGAAGAATAAAACAAAACAGAGAAAAGAAAAAGGTAAAGGAAAAGAAATAGAAAAAAGAAAAAGAAAAGACAAACCCAACTACCGTACCCGCACATACGGCACGGAACCAACGGAAAAATCGCGGAACCAAGGGAACCAACGTAAGACACCGAACCAACGGAGAAAAAAGACCGCAACGATTGGATGGCTTCCTCTGCGTGGGCTGCTGCTGGCCCTCGCGCACTCCTGGGCTGAAATCGCGAGAGTGGGGAGGGGGGGTCGCTGCCCGACTGGTCGGCAGCGAAGCGTTCCGGTTCTAAAGGTCCATTAAAGCCCTTTGACACGACTTATCCAAAACGGCTTTATCGGTAAAGTCAAAATCGGTGAAGCTAAAAAAAACTAGATTTTTTCAGCTTCTAGTTCATTTTAACCTCGGCTTACAAAACGGCTTCACGCTACAGTGCCTCGATTTACACAAAATAGATGAAGCCGAAGCTGGCATAAGTCGTGCCAAAGAGGCCCTAAATCATCCCCTTGTACTGGTTTGAAAAGATTTTCAAAGTGGTGCAAGTCGACAGGGTTCCGTGTGACGACGGTCACCATGACCGTGGCAACAATCGGCACAGGGACCTAATATCCATACTTATGTCCAATAATATACTCTCATCTTGTTCATGCATCTTGCATTGCAATCCTATCATCATGTTTTACTTCATGCAGGAACAGAAGTACCCAAGAAGACAATCTTGGAGCCTGAGTCTGACAGCCTGTTCGGGAGGCCGTATCGTATCGTGGATTATTTACTGCTGGCTGGTTTGGTGTGAGAGAAAAACACTGTTCTCAGCTGGAAATTTACGATCGTTTACGAGCAAGCAAACAGGCTATGAGTCTGTGGCCAAGCCTGGACTCCTCCACACTCAAAGTCAATGCTCAAGGCAGGTACCTAAGCATTCTCCCTCTTTTACACATGAACTTGACCATATGCTATTTATTGCATGTTTATTATCTGTCGTATGATCATGACCTAGTACATCTAGCTGTAGGCTTTCATCATTTTTTTTGTTCTTAATCATTCCTTGTATTATATTGCATTCTTAGAATGTAATCTTACTTATCATACTTAGTCGGCAAAATTCAAGTATGTGACAAAGGCATCATTACTTGCGAGTTGTACAAGTTTCTTGATTAAGGGGGTGTTTCACACTGCTTCGGTCCACATTTTTCAGTTTCGTTCCATGTTTTTTTAGTAAAACTGGTTTACCTTCACGCAACTTTGCTTCATAAAAGATGGAGTTGTGAGAAAAACTAAAATGATGCTACACAAACTCTAATTTTTTTAGAGCTACTCTACAGTGGAGTTTGTAAAGTAGTTCCAACCCCCCCCCCCCTCCATAGTGAACATGTAGAGGAGTAAAGAGCTAAAAGATTGGCCTAGGGTCGTAGTGGGACATGGTCTCAGATGACATAACTCGTTTGAGCCGGTTAAGGACGATTTTTGTTGCATCAAAGCACACTCGTGTACCCACCACATGCTATGCGTGGGCATGGTAAGACCATTAGCATGTTGTGTCTTGGTAATTCGATGGATTTGGCGTGGACTAGGACGAGGTATCACTAGTACAGAAACAAGCTGTACTTTCGGTTGGGAAACCCCTTCAGTCCCGGTTTCCCAACCGAGAGCACGAATTCGGGACTAAAGGGCCCCTCCTTTAGTCCCGGTTTTTCGCCCGAGACTAAAGGTCCACCTTTAGTCCCGGTTGGTAATACCAACTGG